TGCTAGTTCGTTTTGAGCCGGTGTGAAAAAAAATCTATGACTGAGCTCTTTCGAAAGATACATCAATACGTTCACTGAGCGTTGCCATATATTCATATTTCTGGTGTAACTCAGAAACATATCTGGTATATATGATGGAGGTGATGGATTTCCAACCAACGAATTCACCCATGAGCTGGCTCCAACACTACTGAACATCACTAAGGGCGCTTGATAGTGGCAAGCTAGCACTCTTAGCGCATCGTTATTGAATTGTTCAATTACAACCACATCAAATTTCTGATCGGAATTGACCAGTTTTTTGAAGTTTGCATTGGTGAGAGTGGCGTTTGTGATCACGTTGCCCATAAAATTCATGAAAGGTATGAAAATGAATGGATTCATGTCGAAAAGGTCGAACATATTCACGTTCTGATCGATACCTGAAAAAAAATTAAGTGTGATGACTGAAAAGTAAGTTTATACTCAACAGGAAAGTCAATATACTAATTTGAAGTTTACTCTAAATAATAAAAGTGAACCTGTACGTGCTAATATCTAAAACAGCTTAAGCAATTCTGTACCCTGCAGGTAAAGGACATCTGTCGATTTCAAATCAAAATGGAAATTAATATCACTAAAGTTTTCTCCCAACATCAATCCGTTATTTTAACACCTCGACATGTGTTTCGATCACCAAGTGATCATCTTCAAGAGGAAAATTAAACTAATCATGCTTACAAAGTTATCCTTATTTATACCATAGATACCTGTTCACTGTAATATTCATTACTATTCCAAAGGTTCCACACAGTGCATCATAAATGTAAAAAGGAAATACTGAATCAACCATACAAAAACTTTTGTTTCAAAGTGGTTGACAATGTTTCGTGGTGAATTTAACTAGTTTGGACTTCCATTGTCTATGATTTGAAATCTCTGAGAGAACAACTAAAATTTAAATGAATTGCCGAAAATACCAATTATATCAAGCAGTAAATCGTGAAATGAAATCACAATAGAATAAAAATAAGCAGAAAATTAAAAATTGAACAATCAAAAATGAATTAAAAAAAATCAAATAGATTTCAAACCAAGGTACTTCACGACGTTTCGATTGTTAGTATCCACAATCATTTCCAGCTGATGATTGTCCAGTTTCTTTATTTTTTGCCTATTTTCAATTCATTGTGATTTTATTTCACACTTTATTGCTTGCTACGAAATGATTATTATTTTCAGCTATTCATTTCAATTGTATTTGTTCTTTCGGTAGCCGGTCGCTTCGACCGCCGTGTTAGTCGGTGGTTCAAGCCGCAGGCTGAACAATCGATTTGCACTTGCTAGGAATGACACGTTGAAAGGTAAGACCTCATTAGTCTTTAGCTTGCACAAGTTTCGACTTCTGAGGGTTGTCGTTCGTTAGGGTGAGACAGCTGGTTGACGGGAACACATATTTGAAACATTTTTTCTTCAAAACATATTTTCAGAGATTTCAAATCATAATAGAATCATATTAGACAATGGAAATCCGAACTAGTGGAAATATATAAATGTTGTTCTCCATCCAGTGGTACATATAAAATAAGATTTGGCAGAATCAATGATTTGCAAGGCACATCAAGTACCAATGCTCCTCATAAAGTAAACGATCTCATAATTACGGGTGTGAAGTTATCCATATCTACAAAGTAAACTGAGAAAAAAATATCGTTTTTTTTTTATTTACCGACTCTGCTAATCTACCATTTTCCAATATGATACATAGGGTCGAAATATTTGAAAAAATCGTAACATGCAAAGACGACCTTGTACACCTACAAAATTGAGATATGTTATTCCTGATGATCTATTGGATAGAAAAAACTTCACGTCATAGTTTTCCAGGCCGTCTGAGGGGGTGAAAATGAGATGGAATTTTGAAAAAATCATATATTCAAAAATTAGTTTGTACACGTACAAGATTGAGGTATGTTATTCCTATTTGAAGCCTATTTGAAGAGAAAAACTTCACGTTATAGTTTTCCAGGGTGTCTGAGGGGGTGAAAATGGGGTGGAAACTTGAAGAAATCATATATTCTGACGGATTATATTCAGTATCGAAAATTAAATGAATGTACCATATTTCACAAAATCGACCTTTCCGAAACAAAATTATTATAATCAAATTAATTTTGTGTAATTTTCAAAAACATGCTTTTACTAACGCTAATGTTCTCCTTTGCTTTGGTTCTATGTGTTATGAAAATCAAGAGGCTGATATGTTTCTTTGAGGCTATTTATTACTATAGTTCAATCAGATATGTATTCATATAGAGCATCTGAAAAATACTGACTTTGCAGCGTTATCAGACTATTTTCGAAGTATCTAGTCCTACATACAATACACTAACATTTATCAATTCATTCCATTAAACAACTAATATGGTATAAAAGTTTCCAGTCACTTCGTTTCCACTCCATTTCCGCCTTCTCAGAACTGAAAAACTCTGACTCGGTGTTTTTCATTGTTGAATCAATCAGTAGTATCTCAAGCTTGTAGGTACGTTCAAATTCAATTTTCAAAGACTTTTTTTTTTAATTTCCACCCTCTCAGCCTGAAAAACTATAACGTGAAATTTTTTTTGTCGGATACATCATCAGGAATAACATATCTCAATTTTGTTGGTGTACAAAGTCGATTTTTCATGTTAGGAAATTTTTTGATATTTTCACCCCATGTTCATCCCCTCAGACGGCCTGGAAAACTATAACGTGAAGTTTTTTCTGTCGAATAGATCATCATGAATAATATATTATCTCGACTTTGTAGGTGTACAAAGTCGATTTTTCATGTTACGATTTTTTTTTAATATTTCCATCCTATTTTCACCCCTTCAGACAGTTTAATAAACTAGGACGGTTCTTTTCTTCACTAAATCAGTCAATAAGCGTATAATATTGAAAAATGGTAGATGTGCAGAGTCGGTGAATGAAAAAATAATAAATCGATATGTTTTTCTCAGTGTACTTTGTGAATGTGGATAACTTCACACCCGTCTCATAATTACCTCTCCTGTGAAATATAGTTAAGTGTTACATATCATCCTTGAAGTGCAGAATTATGGAGCGATTTTCAATAATGTATTGTTGTCTGGTTCACAAGA